AGCAACACTGCCAACATACCTGATCTTTTATTCTAGTATGAGGAGACAGATAGTAAACAAACATACAAACAATGTATCATGTACTCTGTTAGGCAGTACTCTAAGTGTTAGTACTTCCAAGGGAAAGGAAACACTGATGGGATGACATCGGAGCAGTGATAAGAATAAAGGGAGGAAGTGAGCCTCATGGATACAGAGGTAAAGATAAGCCTGATGGCTGTTCACGTTTGCACAGCCAGTCATCTGTAGTAAGTTAAATTTAAGCTATCCAAACAAGAACTGTCACTCTGACTTTGTGATATTTAGCCTAGCCTTGGTTAGATAAAATTGACATAGAAAATTATCATGCTTGAGTTCATATACAGGGGTTCCACATAACATAATAGAACCTCTTCAGTTCAACTATTGTTAGTCTCAAAAGACAGTGACAAGCATGAAATATCAGTAAACAAACTATGGGCAAGTATGCTTTTCAACATAAACTAGAATACTTTATTTAACAATAGTTAATGCTAATGCTTTTGTTAAATAAAGGCTTTATCCAGCTATAAAAGATATATTTATGGCTATGTGATTTTAATAATGACTTAAATATCTAACATCCATATGAAAAATAATGGAGTGTTTCTTAATTAAAAGCTCAATTTTGTAGAGATTTTGAACTTCTCATGGCAGTTATATTGTGCAGTTTAGTGGGTTTATTTGTAACTCTCTTTTCTTTTGTATTAGACTATGTTCTCTTTGTATCATCTTCAATTTCCTTCATTAATATTTCCAGATTATAGGTCTTTTATCATCTTGGCTAAATTTATTCTGAGGCATTTTATTCTTTTTGATGTGATTTTAAGTGAGTTTTTTTTAACTTTCTTTTTTGATAGTTCAGTATTAGTGTATAGAAATGCAACAGATTACTATATATTAATCTTGTATTCTGCAGCAATGATGAGTTTATTTACTAGTTCTAATAGGTTTTGTGTGTGTGTGTGTGTGTGGAGACTTTAGGGTTTTCTATGTGAAGTATCGTGTCATCTGCAAATAGTGACAGTTTTATCTCTTCTTCTCTAATTTCAATGTTTTTATTCCTTTTCTGTGTCAGATTGCTGTAGCTAGGACTTCCAATACTGTGTTAAATAGAAGTGGTGAGAATGGACATCGTTTTCTTGTTCCTGAATTTAGAGGAAAGGCTTTCATCTTTTCACCACTGAGTATGATGCTGGTGGTGGGTTTGTCATAAATGGCCTTTATTATGTTGAGATATGTCCCCTTTATACCTATTTTGATGGAAGTTTTTATCATGAATGGATGTTGGATTTTGTCAAAAGTTTTTTCAGTGTTGAGATGATCAAGTGATTTTTTTTTTATCCTTCCTGTTGTTATGTGGTACATCACATTGATTTGTGGATGCTGAACCATCCTTGTGACCCTGGAATAAATCCAAATTGATCATGGTGTATATAATGTTTTTATATATTGTTGATTTGGTTTCCTAACATTTTGTTAAGGATTTTTGCATCTATATTCATCAAAAATAGTGGCCTCTAATTTTTTTGGGGGGGTAGTGTCTTTGTTTAGTTTTTATATCAGCGTAATTTTGGCCTCATAGAAGGAATTTGAGAGTGTTTTGTCCCCTTCAATTTTTTGGAATAGTTTGAGGATAGGTATCAGTGCCTCTTTATATGTTTGGTAGAATTCCCCGGTGAAGCCGTCCAGTCCTGACTTCTGTCTACTGGAAGCTTTTTCTTCTTTTTTCTTTTTTACAAATTCAATTTCACTACTAGTGATCAGTCTGTTCAAATAATCTATTTCTTTTTCATTCAGTCTTGACAGGTTCTATGTTTCTAGAAATTTGTCCATTTCTTCTAGGTTGTCCAAATTGTTGGTAGGTAACTGTTCATAGTCTTCTCTTATGATTTTTTTTTGTATCTCTGTGGTACTGGTTGTTATTTCTCCTCTTTAATATCTTCTTTTGTTTACTTCGGTTCTCCCTCTTTTTTTCTTGGTGACCCTGGCTAAAGGTTTATTAATTTTTTTTATCTTTTCAAAGAACACACTCTTGGTTTTATTGATCTTTTCTATTTTTTAAAAAAATCTACGTTTTATTCATTTCCTTTCTGATCTTTATTACTTCCTTTCCCCTGATGACTTTGGGCTTTTGTTTGTTCTTCTATTTTAGGTGGTAGGATATTTTTATTGAGATTTTTTAAAAAATTATTTCTTGAGGACGGGCTGTATTGCTATAAACTTCCATCTCAGAACAGATTTGCAGCATCCTATTGAAGTTTTCATCTATAATTTCTTCAAATGCATTTTCAATCCCTTTCTCTCTTCTTCTAGAATTCCTATAATGTGAATATTGGAACGCTTAATGTTATCCTAGATATCTCTTAAATTGCTTTCATTTTTTAAAATTTATTTTTCTTTTTGCTGTTCTGATTGGGTGATTTCCACGATTCTATTTTCCAGATCACTAATGCATTCTTCTGTACCACTTAGTCTGCGATTCGTTCCTTCTAGTGTGTTTCTTTCTTTTATTTTAATTTTAAGCTACTGAATTTATTTTTGACTGGGTCTTTTTTATATTTTCTAGCTCCTTGTTGAAATCTTCAGTGTTTAGATCAATTTTTTTTTCTAATTCAGTTAACATTTTTTTTAACTGAAGTACAGTCAGTTATAATGTGTCAATTTCTGGTGTACAACACAATGTCCTAGTCACACATATACATACATATATTCGTCCGTTAACATTTTTATTACCAATGTTTTGAATTCTTTATCTGGTAAATTGTTTATTTCTGTTTTATTAATTTTTCAGTGGTTTTCTCTTGCTCTTTCAATTGAGAGTAGTTCTTCTGCCTTTTCATTTCACTTAACTTTCTCTGCCTCTATGAATTTATGTGACACAGTCACCTATTGTGGTCTTGAAGGGACATTCTTACATTGGAATGTCCCTATGTAGACTGTATGCCTAACACTTTTGGTTGGAGGGCTGGATTTGATATGGAAGCCAGTTACATCTTTCCTCAGAGTGTGCCGGTAGCTATCTTATGATATGCAGGTCTTACGATGTGCTTAGTGGAAGGTCAGAAAGTCCTTTCTAATCATGCCATTTCTCAAATTCCTTCATCTTAAAACATTTTATATGCCAAGGTGCCATATTTTGGCGTAACATGTCCTGAACCCCATCACTGCCAAGAGCTCCCATCTTTCAATAAGAAATTTACTTAGCATTCTTCTGGCACAGGAGAAGCCTAAGACCCCACAGCTTGAAGTACTGCATATCTTTCATGTTGTAAAGATCCCACGGGATTGGGCTGGAGAGTTATCTGTTCATTCTTGCGGGTAATTACCAAAGACAATTTCTCCCTATACTCTTTATATAACGCCAGTTAAGTGCTCATATGGTGCCATTTGATATGCTTTGAGATTTTTTTTAAAAAACAACTCAGCCAAGTAAAAGGAAAATAGTTAAAGAAGATGAGGAACCACACTTTGGGCTGATATGCAATGAGATAATTTAGTTTACAATTCTGCTTTTCTTTCACACTGAACATATTTTAAAAATGACTTTCTAAATAAAGGTAACCCATTACCTATTTGTCTATAAAAGTATCACCAATGAAAGGACAAGACAAGACAGTGGGAGCAGAGATCTGGGTGGCTGCCTTCTCTTCCTGGGTCACTGATGGGGCTGACACACACAGAAACTGTTTAGTCTTCAACTACTTATTTGAATGTTTAGTTGAAACTTGAATCATGGTACACCAATTCAAACCTCTAAATTCTAAGCAAAATTCTTCAACATTTGTTCTCCAGATCAACAAAGAACTATTAATTAATACAATTTAAATGTGTGAATGATATTTACACCTCTTTTATTGGATCAGGCTTGAGATGCCAATGAAAAAGAGACAGAATATCTATAAAAGCGATCAGGTTGAATTAGGTGGCATGTCTTTAAAAGTCTGAAAAGGTTTAATTAGGTAGTCTGAATAAAGACAAGTATACTACTAAGTGTTTCCAATAAAATTTCACCAAGAAACTTAATCTTTTTTTCTAGAGAATTAAGATAAAACTTAGTAGAATACAATTGTAAACTTGCACATTTCTAGAAAAATACTTTAAGCACATGGTTTGCTAATGAAATTGCATTTGTTGCAATGAGGGAAGAATTATCAAACAAATCAGTAAAGTTCTAATCTGTTTG